AAATTAATAAACTAATACAGACTGTTAAAAGGAAGGAGAGACATTGGTAACTTTAATTATTATTATTATTATTAGGCAAACATATATTGTTTATTTTTTATTTTTAAAATAAATATTAAAGGATTTTATTTGAAATAATTGAAATGAAACAAAAAGATGTTTGAGATTAATGTAAGAGACTAGGATTAATTTGCCTGTTTCTCTCCTTTCTGAAAGTTTGGAATGGAAAAAGTAATAGTAGAATTAAGCATGCATATATGAATGTATAACTATTGTCATATTTTTATGTAAAAGTGATGACCCGGAAATATGTTGTCCACTAAAACGAGCTTTTTGTTTTCATGTGAAAAATTGAATAAAATTTGTTTTAAAAAAAAAGAATAATGTCAGCTTGTGAAAAAAAATTAATGATTGCAGATTGGTTCTGAATATAGGATACTACACCATTCAGTGTTTTTTCTAAACATCTGAATATACTTCCCCCTCCCCCCCAAAAATGACACCACTTTCCTGTTGTTTTTGTATATTTTATTAGCAGTGTACGTAAGTATGTTTGTATCTCTTTTTCTTTCTCCTGGCAATACTGACTGCTAGGTTTATTATTTTAAATATAAATTTTCTGTTTACAGTAACTACTGGGTTCTGTCCCTTCTTTTCACAATAAAAATAATCAATATTCATGCCAATATTGTCTTAGTAAATTATCACATTTTGATTTTTCAGGATGACATATAGATCTGTACAAAGAACCCCATATCACAAAAGCATTCACAGTGCATAAGGTCACAGTCATTGAGAAAATAAATCATAATTTTATCTCTGTGATTTAATTTACAAAGTTATCCTTTCTATTCTCCCGGCAGCACTATAAAAAGCACCTCATCATTTTTTCAGAAGTAGGATCATCATCCCACAGACTGGGATGAACAGGCTAAAATGATCACTTGAGAGTAAGATGGGTAGAATCCAAATTTGAAAAATAAATAAAAATAAAACTTCTCTAAATCAGGAATCATTCTCTGCTCGTGAACATCTCCGATTTCTCTCCCCCAACAAAGACACTTTTATGGAAAGGTTTAGCAAAATTCTGGGAAGAAAACTGTTGTTTCTGGGGAACTGCATTTTTTTTAACAATTATACAGAAGTTTGATAAATACAAATTATATTCTTGCTGTAAATAACAACAATAGCAGCAATTCATTTCCTAAAAGACCTTGGTCTTCTTTGGAGGATATGGTTCTACTAATATTTTTAGATTTCATCACAATTCTAGGCTACTAATATTGGGTAAACAGAATTTAAGAGAGCAATATTTTGGGGAAAATTAAGTCTCTCCCCAGGGACAAAAAGAGGCCAGCAATTACTATTGTTTGCTTAAAGTGCTCTGAATTTCAGGACAGCAATGGCTGGGGGAGGAAGGAATAAGTCGTGCATTATAAAGACAATGTAAAGCACACACACAAAAAGAATCATCTGCAGTGTTAATATAGTTAACACCCCACCCCTCCAAAGGCCTTGCTTCCATTTACTAGTGCTTGGAATTTGAGGAAAATGACAAAAACAGTGTTGTGTGGTTGTCACACAAGTTCTGCCCTTCTTGTCTTTTTGATGAAAACCTTCAGTCCTGTGACATCTTTGTTCTTGGGCTGTGGTTTTTAAACAATCTTCCACAAAAGCAAGGATTCTTCAGAAGTTTATTTGATGTAAATCTCAGAAGAGCAAATTAAGATTGGAAAGAATACACAATGCAAGCTTCCCTGAGAAATGTTGGTTTTCTATTATCAATCTATTTTCCATCCAATGTGCAGTTGCATGAAAATTAGGGTGTCCTTCAAGTCAGAGAGGTTCTCAAGGTCTTAGAATTATTCTTCTAACTATGATGGTCTTAGAATTGCAGCTTATCCACAATTTCCATTCAGCTTTGCCAAAAAGGTTTTGATTAGATGAGAATATATGTAAATAATCTCCCTCCTGATTTTCTGAGGACAGAAACTGGGTTTGCTATCAAGTTTAATCCGAAGGACCAAACTGGGACAGAATATTTATTTATCCTTAAAATGTCTTACTTAAAGAGAGTCTTTCTTAGGGCCTGACATTAGCAGACAACTATTCAAAATGCAGAGAATATAATATTTTTCTCAGTACAGAATAAATTTACTAAGACAACTAGTGATTTTTCAAATGACTTGGGAAAAAAGATTTAAGATTTATTACTTTTATTATTTAACACTCTTAGTTCACAGCGTATTAGGGTCCTTCTCACACCTTCCCAATCCCCTTTGCCATCCGCCATCTTTCTCCTCCCAATTCCCGATATCCAAAAATGAGATTCATTGCTGGGTTTGTGAATATATTAAGGATCCTCTGATAGCATGAAGTTCATCCATGCTGTTTAGAAGTTCTGAAGGTGGTAATGGAGATTACACGCAACTACCTAAATAGCGCATTTTTAGGACAACTAAGCTGCATATATTATTCTCTAGCTAGATTTTTCTAGATCAGTAATTTAAATCCTTTCCCCTCCCCCCACTTTTTTGTTTACTCTTTTGAAGTTAATGGCACAAACAGCAAAGCTGAAACTACTTAGCTTTTATATGTTGAGTTATTATCTAAATTTAAATTTAAATCAATTGAACTTAAAATGTGGATGATGAGAGCCCAACCTGATTTATAGTACGTCTGTATACAATCCACTATTTTACTAAGGTTCAGGCTGCACAAACTCTACCTTCTTTAAATGTCTTTAAATATGGCAATCACAGTTTGAGATAGTTTGGAAATGATGGAGCAAAGGAAGCCCTCTGCAATTTAAATTTTAAGGTGCTGTAATTTTAATAGGGTAAGTCTTTGGTTCACATAGGTACAAACATTCATCTTCTGCTTAGTATTTCTTGCATCAATATAAACACTTAAGACAGTAGAATTAAATACTAATCCAAAGGTCTACAGAAATCTAATATCTTCATTTCGAGAAAAAATGACATGTAACTGAACATTAAAAAGAAGCAGAAAAGACAAGCGCCAATTGTAATTTTCACAATTGGTGGATTTTGGTAAAATAAATATAACTTTCTGAAGCACGGTCAGTATCAAAATGATTTTTAAAAATATATAAATGTAAATTTTCTTTTCATAATTTTGTGTTTTAAAATCCACTGAATAAGGACACACATCTTTCCCCCCCCAAGCTTTAAATTATATTTTTGTTTTTCGTTTTGTTGTTTGCATTTTATTTGCCACTGTGAATTGTTATTCAAGAAGCAAAGCAAAGTAGAATTCAAATCATAAATAAAATCAAGAAAGTTGCAGCTTGGAAGTTGTAATGAATATTAGAAATAATATAAAAAGAAGCTTGGTATGACAGCAAACGATAAAGAAGTGGGAAAAAATGATCAAATGATAAGTGGACCAACTCTCTTCCAAGCTGACCTGCAATCCAGCATCAGAAGGCAGATCATTACAAGTCAGGAAAAGAAACACAAAAAATGCAAAAGTGAAGCCTGGTCTTGCGGTACTTATCCAAATACGATATTCTTAGAATTTGAGGATGATTTCCAACAAAAGATTAGAATCAGGTCTCTAGCAGCAATTTTCAACAAAAAATAACAACACAAAGCATTCTGCTTTGCTAATTATTTTGAGATAGCTGAGGGTGGAAACATACTGGTAGGTGAGGTATTTTAAAGAGAGAATTGAAGTGGCTTGAGAGACAAATTTCCCTTCCTTAGTGCACAGATTTTCATTTTGTCCCATTTTGATTCTGTTCAAATTGCTTCTTAATGCGTCTATGCATACACTCTGATAACTGCCTTGAAACTAATATGGAAGTGTATAAATTTCTGGAAGAAAATTATAGAAAGGAAAAAAAACTAAACAATATTGTATTTACTGGAGACAATAACGACAGGAATATATAAGCACAAGCATATCTGTTTTCTTAGAAAACTGTCCACAAGGATGAGACGAATAAAAATATCTTAAATCTGTGCTATTTAATATTTAGGGTAATAGGACCATAATTTAATTAATAATATGGTGAAATGAATGTGGTTTCATTAAAGTGAGCTTTCTGTATAAGTTCATCCGATGAGTTTGTCTTTATTGCAAGTAAAAACAAGTTCTTTCTGGTTTGTGAGAGGAAGTGCAGCAAAATTCTTCGTATTACATTGTGACGACAGAGGAAAAAAGTCAATATATATTATATTTCATTTTTATATCACTATTTGCATAAAAAATGCAAAGCAAGAATTTGAGACCAACTTGACAAACTATTTAAAAATATAAGTATACTTGGTGTTTCAAAAAAAAACTCACAATGGTCTTAATCATATGGATTGTTTGTAATCCCATAATTGATTCTGAGAACTAAAAAAGAAAATTACCATGTGCACTTTTCTTCACTGTCATATATATTTTCGATTTGGCAAATCATATGCATGTGTGAAAGAGGAATAAAATGTATTGTGGGGGATATTGAGAATGAAAGTAGTTTGGCAACTGAATCAATTATTTAGAAGGCTGGTGAGCTCTAAGTTGCTAGAAATCTTGAAGCAGAGGCTGAAGAGCTGCCTCCTGGATATACCTTAGTTCATGATATTCTGTGCCAAGCAGACAGGTGAGCATAACTCACCCCAATGGTTTTATGTTTACAGATATGGCAAATATAATAACCTAGGATTAAGCCAACTGTATTGCTTTGTGTCTAAAAGGAATCAGCAATATAACAGACCAGGTACAAATTAACATCTGTGGGCAAATAAAGTTTTGTGATCCAAACTAGAACTAAGGAGAAATTGTGAGTGCTTCATCACTGGAGCCTTTTAAGGAGATTGGACAGCCATTTGTCTGAAATGGTATAGGATCTCTTGCTTGAACAGACGATTGGCCAAGAAGACCTCCAAGGTCCCTTCCAACTCTGTTAATCTGTAAACTGGGGCTGTCAAACTCCTGGCCCGTAGGCCGGATGCGTCACATGCTGGCCATGCCCATGCCCAGTTTAGTGAAGGGGGAAAAAGTCCCAATACATCACGTGATGCCACTGTGACAATGTGAGTTTGACACCCTCGCTGTAAACTAAGATTTCTTAAAGTGCAATTTTTGTGTCCTTTTGCCACAACTAGTTAGATTTATGTCTAGAATCGGTAGCTTGCTAGGGTATTATTAGGCCTCTGAAGTCCAAGAAGAAAGAATCAGGTAAAAAACCCCATCTTTCATTTTCTAAAATGAGAGAACTGCACAAGAATATTACACATCTTGTTTTCACTATTCAATCTTCTTATGGCTTTCACAGAAAACATAAAACAGAAAGTGAGTTAACTATTGTTTAGAAGTTTCCTCTGTTGCTATTATGCAAAGTCTCAGTTTTGTGAATAGGGTATATTTGGGGGCATGACATACAGTGTTTATAATAATTTATCCAATCAAAGAAAGAGGCAGAGGTATTGTAGTCTCACTTATTACTTCAGATATAGTGCAGTATAAATATCCAAATGCTTATACATTCTGTTCAGGAAGACTGCTGTCCCCTTGTGTAAAATGCTGGAAATACCAGATTAAAGTGCTGACAATGAAAAATGCGGAACAATGCTTTTCCTAATAAAAGGAATTATATTTACAGATTTTAAAAAAGTTGTTTATTTCATATCAGACAGGGTTGTATCCACTTAAACCAGATATAAGTTATTGTTTACTGGATCTTAAGGGGAAAATCCTTCCCTGTTATTTTTCCAGTCATAAAGGGGAACGCATGTCATTTCTGCCTTTCCTGTGCCAACCCTAGGAAGAAGGAAATTCGTCAGACACCTATTACTATACTAAAGTTGATTTGTGGGTTTCAGTTGCTATCCCTATCAATACTGATATTAATTATAGAGAGTAAAAGTTTCAGAATTTCTCCCTTTGCATAAAACTCTATTCGGAACAAGTGGTGATTGCTTTATATCAATTGACAGCAATTTTTTGCAAATAATCTTATTTACCCAACATTTTTTCAATATCATAAATGTAGTGTGAATAATTTTATTTTGTAAATGAACTATAATTCTGGGAAATTTGAATGCATAACATCTATAGAAGAATGGGAAGAAATAACTCAAAAAGTATGAATGACCAAAAAAAATGCCCCTGAACCTCTCTCCCAATACTGGTACAGATATGTAAATGCCTCTGGTCTGCTTCTGATATACACGCACAAATTTTATTATAAATCATCTCACCATTTTGCAACTAAATTTTGAGCAATTTCAAACTGTGCATTGTTAGGATTACCCTAAGCATGTGATAGCCAGGTGTACAGAATTATTATCATACGCTGAAGCTATGCATATGTAAACATGATCTTCATACATTCCACCTATGGAAGACTGGGTTTTTTTGCTACTGCTGCAAACGTGCCACATGTCATGTGAAATAACCCTGAGACTGGGTTCCCTTGAAAATTCTTGTGTTTGAGGTTAAATCAATCGAATCTCATGGCTCATTTATGCTGAGTGCATCAGACAACAGACTATCTATATCTATATGTAACTTTATTTTAGATGCCAATTACTGTATTTATCTGCATTTTATCAGGGAGCAAGGTATTTAAGGGCAAGACTTTTTCTCTCTCTTTCATATTCTCCCTTCTTTTCCAGAAGTATTCCTGTGGTTACTGTGAATTCATGATATTGAGATCACAATGAGATTGGCTTCATTACCTTATATTGTTACATGAATTTGTATGGTTTTGGCTTAGTGTAAATTCAACCACTGGGAATTGTAATCCTTAGTTTACGACCTTAGTTTATAGTCTAAGATGTTGTATGACTCTAAATGTTTGTGATTTAAATAATAAAATACAGTTTAGTGTGTGAATTAGGCAGCATAGGATAAAATATTTGACTTCTGAGAGGAATATTAAACTGTAGCAGCTTGAGTTGGGTGCTTAGGAACTCTTATATTGAGAACATCATGATTTGTGAATAGAGATATTGGAGTATCTATCCCATCCTCAATAAACTGTAAGTGATTATATCCATTTTTAAATTCCTTGTGAAAAACTGTATTTCTTTCTGACAGAAGTGCAATGCTCTGCTCTTTGGAATTTTGCCTAATGCTTATGCGTGCAAAAATATATTCAATATGGTTTGAAATTCATATTCTTCAGCCATTCAATATATATTTACTGAGCAAAGATTAAAAAAATAAATGATGTACAAAGGTAAGCTGTGCTTCTAGAAATTTCTGCATTCTTCAGCATTTTAATAACATTTGAAAAGTGGTAATGTTTGTGATGAATGAGATGGAATCTTCATTGTTGACTTAGAATTGACAATAAGATGTAGTTTCCATTTCATCTTTCGGTATTTCTCATGAAGCTTACAAATTGAGGCAGTGGGTAAATCTTGAGAAAGCTCATGTCCTTGTGTCAGGTTTATATAAGAGAAGCATAAAAAGAGAAATGGGATTTATCCTGTCTCCCTGCTGCGTTAATATCCCAAATCTTCTGAAATTTATATTTTATAGACTGAGGTTTCCTTTCCATTATACTCATAAATACCCAAATATATTTTATTTGTGAGAGTCACTAGTGATATGGGAAAAAACAGATTATGACTCTAGCGAACTAAGAAGTTAATTCAGAGATAATGTAATGACTGTTATTGCATTCTTGTAGATATTCTGATTTTTTGTTTCTTTCCATGCAGTTGGAGATTGCTTAAAGTGAAAACTTTCAAATTTAATTAGCTTTGTCTCAAACATTTTACTGGACAAATAATGAAATATGTAAGAGTTCCCAGGAGCAGTTGGCTCAAGATTGTCAAGGCTTGATGAGAGACTGAACTTTCGATCAAAAGGGGATTAAAGTAAGCTATGAAGGAAATGATCTGTGCAAAGACTCAGTGCTTTGAATCAACCCACAGAGATTCAAAGCATCAGAATAACCCAACAAATTCAGGAACATAAATAAATCTAAATCAATTCACATTAATTGGATATTTTCCTCACATGTGCACATGCACTTTAAGGCCTGAATTGGTCCTAATAGAGTCCATTCCTATTGGAGCTCTATTTGAATTGATTTAGGTATCTGAATTAAATTTATCTCCCGAAATAATTTAAACATCTGCATTGAATCACATCTCACTCACACACCTCAGAAGAACATCTGTGCACATTGGACCATGTTCTATAATTATCTCAATGTACATGCAGATACTAGATTTCCAAAAGATAGCAGACTCCCCCTCCCCATATTCTGCTGGCCAGTTTTCATGCAATCCACCTTTCTGATTTTAAAATAAGATAAAACTGAGGATTGTACAATTATTGTTTGGTGTGTGTGCACATATGCACGCAAGCAGATAGATAGATAGATAGATAGATAGATAGATAGATAGATATAAATACTTCCAAATTCATAGTTCATTTATGAAGAGTTGGAAGGCATCTCAGTTATACATTCCCCCCAGATCATTACCATCACAATCAATTATTGAGCACCCAAGGTTTTCCATTTTCCTCTAAGGTTAGAATATACACTTACTGGTGCTGGTGCAATTTTCTAACTTGTCAACATAATATTCATATGTATTTATTCTAGATATTATCCATTGTTCTTCACTGACTGTAAAACAATTTGATCTTTTTCCAGCACAGATATTTATCCAGTTTGCCATATTTTAAGTTCCATGATTTTCAGAATGACTTGATCATAGTATTGTATTATCATTTTCCATCTTTTTCTTAGTAAAACTGTTGTATCTTTCAAAAACATTTTTAAAAGATGATAAATTACTATTGAAGATGATCTCCTCAGCATTGTTGGAACTTGTGTATAAATAGAGCATTTAAAGAAGGAAAACCAAGGTTCTTCATGCATATAAGCATGTAATCACATGACATAGCTGAGATCCTCAAAATGAGGCAAGGTAGAATCTTGAATCTACTCTCTTTTCCTCTTCTTTGAAGACCTGTATGCCATCAAATGGAAAATGTGTTTCCATGGCAGACGTTATATCAGTTTGATATTGATGATGCTCAAACCAGAATGGACTCTGAAATGGGGCACCATCTTTTAAAACCTCATACAGAGCTGCAGGAAGTACAGCTGAATGAGGGTACCTGATGAAGAAAGAGGAGGTGGAAGAACAGATGACAAAGCTTTAGCAGTCTTGATCTTGTGTGTTGTAAAGAAATATGTTCTTTCCTCCCAGATAAATTGCTTCTAAGTTGATAAAGCAGGAGAGACATTGAGTTTTGGAGTTAAAGTGTAAAAATCTCTCCTGACACTTATAGCAAAATAGATCCAGATGACATCTCTTGGCTTTGCTTCTCAGTCTTCTCGGCACATTGGGAAGTTGACAAAAGTGAAGACATTAAACTCTATCAGTATCGAGAAACACAAGAAAATGACATAGAGGGTGAGCACATAGACTCCCAATTTCCTGTCAAGTTTCCATTTATTTAAGTGGATCCCGCCAACCTGTAAGGACATGAGGAATGAATTATTTAAGATTGAAAGCGATATATGCTGCAGGCTAAAAAAAATAGCACTTCAAATGAGAATTTTAGAAATAATTCAAGGAAACTAATTTCCATGACCTTTACAACTAGAGAAACTCTTAAATCCTATAATACAAAATATTTGTGGAAGAGTTATTAGAAAATCTATAGAGGGAAACAAGTGTTTTATGATTCATATACTTAAATTGATATTTTTAATTAGGTGACAGTCCAGCATGTTGCTTTAAGTGTTGTACAAATATCAAGAAATAAGTCTCTTGGGATGCTTCACAGATTTCAATTAAGAATTAGTATAAAAAATTGCTACGCTACCTGAACTGTCTAGCCGTTGTATTATACCTGTATCTAGCTTCACCGTATCATCTGACTCTATTTTTTTAATTCATCAAATTTTAATTTTAGTCCATCCTTTTCCCCACTTCATATGTTTTATGAGTTCTTCTCTGTGTACATATTGGACCTCAGTTTAGAGTACACAACAGCCCCATTTACTATATGTTAAGCAGAGGATGTGACACTTTCTGGTGAGAGAGAAGTTCCCTGAGGATTGGCTCCAGCACAAGTCCAAAAGCTTAGAAGAGTAAACCTCTGGTCTCAGTGACTGACCCAGATTGGATCCTGAGGATGTGATTGCTAAAAGTTGTCTGGTAAATCCAGGAAATCCAGAAATTCTAGCACCATTTATGTCACTTAAGTATTTTCTCAAATGACATAAATTCAGGTTCAACAGACAACATAACACCTGGATGTACTGTTAAACCAAGCTTTTATTTTATACAAGCTTTTTAATGCACATATTTTTGCAAATTTTACAGCAATTCATTTTTCCAATCAAAGCTATAAATTATTTTTACAAATGTAAGTTTCTTAATAGTACAACTAATTTGTAAAGTCTGTTTAATGTCTGTATATGTATATGTATATGTATATGTATATGTATATGTATATGTATATGTATATGTATATGTATATGTATATGTATACGTATAGTATATGTATAGTCTGTATATGTTGACTAAATAATAGTTACATTTTGCATGGCAAATATAAGTTTACTATTAAATAAGTTTTATCTCATCTCTAGATATGTGATATTAATATGACTGGGTGCAGAAATAAATTAATTCATCAGTACACTTACGGTAAGGGCTACAGACCCCAGGAGAAGCACAACAGAATAAACTAGTCCTTTGCTGTTTATCTTAACCTTTGAAAATCAGAAAAGACAGGTTTAAAATACTTGCCACATCTCAAGAATACAGTCACTAGAAAATATAAGATAGAGGATGCAAAAACAATATACTCATGATTTCATCTCCAATTAAGTCAACAGGCAATGTCTGTTGAACAGAAGGAAACAGATTTAATCTTGCAAAATAGGTTTACTTCAGAGGGAAGATCCATTCAGGAATCCAAAATGCAAAGGAAAAAAAAGTTGAACATTTTTGAAGGGGGCACATGGGTTATGATAATGACAACATTAGAGACAACAATATTAGTCAAAGGTAAAGAATTATATTGAACATCTAATGGCAGTTGGAGAAGCCTTAAGACGCACAAGAAACAATTAAGAGATTTCATGAGAAATTGGTTAGTATTGGTTCCTACTGGAGGTTCTGGAGAAATTCAGCAACAGGGTGGTCAATGTCTGGAATACTTTCTTCCCCAAACCCTCAAAACTTTAACCTTAGACTGTCTACTATTGACCTCACCCCTTTCCTAAGAGGTGTGTAGGGGGCGTGCATAAGCGCACCAAAGTGCCTACCGTCCCTGTCCTATTGTTTCTTTTATTTTTCTTATACGTACTCATTTCTTCTATTCATAACTATGTTTATCCTTATACCTATTATCTTGTAAGTGATTGACAAATCAAATAAATAAAAATAAATAAATAAAAGATACAACACATTGCAGAGACCTCTGTGTATTACACATGCTTCTAAGATATTTTGTCATCTTATTACAGGACCAGCTGTAACCCTGACCAAAATAAGAGATATGAAGTTTGGAAAAATAGTTTTATGGAATTTTTGCATAGAGATTTGTGTAAAGATATTTAGGGTAGCTTTTCTGAACCTTGGCACAATTCCAATATGGTCTTACTTCAAATTCCAGCATCATTGGCCTTCATGGCCAAAGTCTCGTTGAGTACACTAAGAGCTCCTGTCCCAACTCACAATGCATCTACAGATAATCAAGCTGGGGAAAGTTGCTTTCAACTAAGCCATACCAAAATAACTATTTGTTTTATTCAATCGTATTTTCTGTGACAAAAACTTTGAACAGATTTATTTACACCTGGATACATACGTATGAGCCATAATGAACTGCCATAGTCTGTAAACCCCATGGAACTCCAAGCCCCACAAGAATGTCAAACACGTTGCTTCCAATCGTATTGGACACTGCCATGTCACCTAATCCTGAAAAATAAACATTTCACAATTCAAAGCCATTTTGATTTGCACAATGATTTCTTTACAACAAGCATTTAGCAGTGAGGATAAGCTTTTCTCCTCTACCAAAAGGCCACATCTAGAGGTAATGAATGTAAACTGTAATAGACCATAATAAATTGGCCAGGATTCCCTACAATAATTCTTCACAGAATTATTAATTAATTAAGTAATTCTTTGCCAATTGTTTTTAATTGAGAGAAAAGGCAAGTTAGGTATATACTTAACTGTAGTTTACAGTATATACCTAACCAATTTACAGTATATACCTAACTATAAATGGGCTTAAAACCAAATAATGTTGTCATCCTGAGACACTCAAAGTGTTGACTCCAGAAGAAGGTCACAAACTATATTTGGAATCTCAAATTTTAACTCAATAAAATTAGTTCTGTTGAGCAGAGTACAAGGGGCCTCTTCCAAAATTATGGAATTCTGTGTGGATTCCCACATAAAGCAATACACCCCTTTCAATGTAATGATCCTATGAATTCCAATAATTTCTATGGGGAATTATTATTTTTTGCAAATATCAAATTTGACCGTTTATTGATAAAGCATCAATACAAACTCATTAAAAATGGATAAAATCTAGTCTATTTTTGACTGGAATAGCAAGTTGATGAAAGCATAAAACAGAGATTCCTGATTAATGGAAGGCAGATCCTAAGCTTCTTTTTACTTAAATATTTTTGTTTAAGCATCTGAGATTTAATCAATTAAATCTACACAAGATTAATGCTAGTGAAATAAAACACCTTTTGATTATATTTTACATACGTGTATATTTAAAGTAAGCAATATCTTAAAATCATATATAATTGAAGAGAGAATGGTGTTTTAAATTGGTGTTTGTGATCCAAACTTTACTTATGAATTTGCATTACAAATAATAGATAAAGAATAAAATATTGAAAAGGCTAGCACCCCCTTATAAAAGGTGTACTAACACCTTTCTCTCTTGGAGATGTGTATCAATATATTTATCTCCAAAGTATTTGAGGTAGATTTTAGTCAGTCCAAAGAACTGTAAATAGATTAGTTATGCTTTTCTTTTTTATTATTATAAAAAGATTATTTGGGTTTTCACAAAACATAATACAAGTAAAATTTCTTTTCTTTTTTTTTTTGAGAATAGCATGGTCCTGGGTTATCACTTCTCCATACAGACACAAATTCAATTTCATATTCATCTTTGTGTTCTATTCCATCTTATTACTATTTTAACATTTTCTCTATAATTTTTCCCTTCCCTTAGTTTTCTCAACCTTTTAATTATCTCGTTCCTTTCTAAATTCAATTATATATATCTTTTTCTAAGTTTCAATACCTTTCTAGTCATCATATTTATACTTTGGTCTGTCCTGTTTCAATTTCATATTTTCTTTTCTCATTAAACAAAATTTTTCGCTGTAGTTACTAATTGGAATATGACACCTTTTTGCATCTTTTAATTTTTATCCATTCAGCTCTTATTTAAACTTCAGTTTGTCTTTACAATATAACATTCAATATAATACATAACTTCCAGTTGAATTCTGCTTGGTACATTCTTAAAATACGCACTAAGTTCTTAAACAGAAAAAATATATATAACAATAATAAATAAAATACTTATTCTATTCCAATTCAGCTCTATCATTAATGTTAGTTATAGTCTTTGACATCTTTAACATTTCTTTTCAGTAGGATATCATACTTCTAGGAACACTTATAATATTTCCATAATTTTTTCATATTTCTTTCATATTCCTCTTCACTCAAATTTTTATAACACATTTATAATAATTAAAATGTTCCCCTCCTTTCCTAATTTCATTCTCTCATTCTCTTTATTTATTTATTTAACATTCCCTTACATTACAATGAGTATTTTATCTATCATTTTAATCACACTTGTTTCATATTTTCAAAGTTCATTTCTATTTCTAATATAACAATATTTCTATTTCTATTTCCATTTCTAATATAACTATCTTATGTGCTCTTGCAGAATCCCCCTTTCAATTAAGTTTTCACCCATTATCTCTGTGTCTTGTACATTTTTTCCTGGTTTCTCTATGTCCTGTTTCTGTCCTTTATAATTTCTTTTCCTTTCCCTCTTCTCCCTCTTCTTCTCCCTTCCTTTTTTGACCACTTCTCTCTCAAATTCTGATTCTCTCTTCTGTAATCCTCTCTTCTGTTTCTTCCTAATATTGTAATTACTTTTCAAACTATTCTTTTTTTTGAGTTGTTTTTTTCAGATCTTAAATTTTTCACTCTCTTTCCCCCCTTCCTTTTCTTTTCCCCACATAGAAATACTTGGTCGTTGAAGATGGCTTCTTCTTTGCCCCCCCCCTTCTTGTTTTACAGGCATTTCTTGTTGTTTCTCATAGTTCAGGATCTCCATTTCTAAAAATTGAAATACGAAGCCAAAAGAACCTCTTCCTTCTTGTGCATCTTCTTTCTGTTTCTTAAGTTCCATTCTCAATCCTTCCAAGAGTGATACCATTTTAAAAACTTTTAAACAACCACCCGATTAATTTTAGTCCTTTAAATCCAATAGCCAAAAATCCAAAAGTCACCAAGTAATCCAAATAATCCAAAGCTGTTTCTTCTTGCTTCTTTTTTCCACTTTCTCTTCCTGGGGTCCGCTTACCTTGTTACAAAGTTTCCATTAAAATGTATCTTTTAGGAATCTTGTTAAAGTTTCACTGTTAATTCCTTTCACTTCCAGGTGGTCTCCTCCATTTTTCCAGATCCCACCCTTTTGTTTTTTTCCTTCTTTTAAAAGTTTTTGAGAATCCAAAAATCTTTATTATCCCTTTGACATTTTATTTTCAGCCTAAATGCCTGTTAATGTCAAAGTGGATTTTTGCCGGTTTCTTACTTAAATCTCTTAGTTGTCAATATAGAAGAAAAGAAAAAAAACCAAATCCTTTCCCTTCCCTCTCTCATTCGCCGCTTCAAAATCTTCTTTGGGAACAATGTTGTTCTTTATAATTCAAATTCCAGGGTACTTTGTATTGTTGTTTTTCCAGTTCGACCCGGTCAGCCAAAAACTTTCTCTTCTTATCTTCCTCCTGCACATTCTTTTCTGGTCAGGTTCTTCTTTGAGGTGGCCATTTCTGACCACTGCTGCAACTGCCTTCGGAAAAGGGAGTAAGGCCAGCTGGGGAGGAGAGATGTGACTCTCCTTGACCCTGCTGGCAGTCTCCCCACTCTTCACAACCTCTACAGGGTGGCTTAGCCCTGAAACCAGCTGGCTCGGGGTGCTCCAGCGGAGAGCACAGATCGAAACTGCACAAATCGCAGATTTTGGTCTGTCGCCAAAGAAGCTCAAACCGGAAGTCAGATTAGTTATGCTTTTTGATGGATTTGAATGGGATAATGGTTCATTGCATCTGGATCCCCCCAAAAGTCTTTTTTCAAAAGGCAAGTGGACTTCCTTTGTTTTTCCTTGAAGACATTTCACTTCTCATCCAAGAAGCTTCTTCAGGTCTGAACTTCATCTCTTCAGAACAGAAGAAACTTCTTGGATGAGAAGTGAGATGTTTTCATAGGAAAGAAAATTCAGAAAAAGCCCCTTTGGGACAACCATAACCTGGATGACTGAGAAATCTTCATAGACATGCCTCTGGAGTAGTGACTTAATTAACTGATTCAACTTTCATTCCTATTTAGATACACATCACTTATTACACTGAAATCATCTGTTCATTTCCCATAATATTACATTTTCCCCCAAACACAGCCTAGTCTTCAGTTTTGTCATCCGTTTGTAATTTTTAAAAAAGTGTAAAAAAATGTCATGAATTTTTAGGCTCACACTTTCATTTAGACTATTTTATGCATTTCGAAAGCACAAAACTGTACAGTGGTTTGTAAGCAATTTCCTCCTACACAGTATTTTCTCTTATATTTCTTAATGCATACATATTTTGTATGCAGGTTTTGCTGATCAATTTTGTACACATTTTAATCAGAGGAGTGTAATTTAAATTTAAGAATATTACAGAAACTGAAGGATGCCCACATTAATTTAGGCAATTCAATTTAGGTATTTAATTTAGGCAATTCATTAGCCTGTATTGAAAAACCTGAAGGAAATGAAGGTGATCTCAGCCCCATCTCTACATCAATAATGTAAGAGCTCAGATAAATGCACAGCATTTATCTGAAATCAGTGCAGGCCTTACCTTGTCTTGCTACTATTAAACTGGCCATGCAGTCTGGTACACTAGTCCCTGCAGCTAGGAAAGTAATGCCCATGATAACATCTGGAATCCCTAGAGTGTAACCAATCACTGTTACCTGTGCAACAAAGGAAAACAAGTTGTTGTAAACAATAAGAGCATTCTGACTCTTAGACCTTCTTTAACTGCTTGAGCAAGTGGGTGTTAAAATGAAACAATCTAACAAACCCAAGAATTTATAATGCTACAACAAATTAGCAGCCATAAACTGACTATGTAGAACATATTCCTAAATCTAACGTCTTCCCAAAGCTAACATCTGCTATACATGTTGAATTTCCACTCATACTTGCAAAGGTCATGCCTGCTAGTTGTGACAGCAACTCTAGGACAATATCTTGAGGATACCTCACTACAGAAGTCCAATCCTAGGACAAAGTAAAAATGTTTTTCAGCTTCTAGAGATAACCTGTTTTGTATATGTATTGATGTGCTGTCTGGATTACCATCTTGTAATTGTCACGTAATTCTTTTTTTTACATACATTTTATTACATTTATATTTGCGTATTTTTATGTTTGTTATATTGGGAGCTGCCCAGAATCAGTTGGAATCAAGCAGCATCAAAATCAAATCAATAATCAAAACTGAGGAGAAAAAAGTTGTTTTTTTTTCTTTCTTGTTTCATTTTTCCTTTACATTGTACAATGAATGTGCATATTAGGAATGCAGAAACTATGCACAATCATAATCTTTACTTAGTTATGTCTAAACTGGTTCCGCTGGAATTTCAAAATGTCAAACTATTTATCTTCAAGGAATATTTTTTTCCTCCATGAAGCAGAAATTTAAAGAAAGCATAGAAATTAACATACATGGGTAAGACTAGTAACATTTGAGATCAAGTCTACACTTTGTCATGCAGTTCACAGGGTTCACAATAGATTAATCCCACTATTAAGTCCAAAATTACCTCATGGGAATTACTGCTTTACTTGAGGATTAAAAAAGCAAGAAAAATCCATATATTCTGTCCAATGTTGCTTGGATTAAACTAGGATCAATGAATTGTTACTAATTGAGATTAACGGTACATAGTTTTCTGGATAAGATGCTCCATGGTTCCATGTCTGGACTCCAATTCTAAGAATTCCTAACAGCATTAGCAATAACTGTTTGGGCTTTTCTAGAATTTACAGATCTAGCATATCTAAAGGATACCAGATTGAGATTAAGATTGGATTAAAAATCAAATAGTAATCCAACGAATAATCACACCATCTTCAACTTTGAGAAAAGAAGGATCTCCACCTGGCCTTAGCTGAAATCCAAATGTGCGACTATGATGCAAGGTTTATTTTTCCTAGTTATTGAAAAAGATGCCATACAAGTCAATGTCAGCCTTTGTGAGTTGATTAACAGATTGTCTTAACAGGCTCCAGAAAGCTAGCTGTATTGGAGGACATTTTCATATTGGAGGTATTGGAGAACATTTTCCAGTAGTATAAAGATTTGCTAGGTATGTTTAAAAAAAATGAAGGAATAAAGGATGAGAAAAAAGCAAAAAAAAAAAAAAAGGAGGGGAGGTTTCAAGTATCACAATGATTCCTTCAATAAAAGACATATTTGAATGTTCATATTACACACATCAAACATTTGTTTTGCTTTCTTTCAGTTAGATTCAAATAGTAATGTTCTTCATTATTATTGCCTTTGTTTTCTACCTAACATCATTAAAAATGTTATCTGAATCAACCAACACCCCCCCCCCATATCTTTGCAATCACTCACCATCCACACCATAAAGTAAGAAAACAAAGCGATCCATAATGTGGAAAAGACAAACGTCACCATGAAAAATTTTTCCCAGCGTGGCTTGCTACAGTTTGGGATGGTGAAAAAGAGGAGAAGTATCAGTGGCCAGGTCAGGATCCATTTGACTTTTTCCATTTTTCCATCTGGAGAGCAAAAGAAAAGAAAAGGGAACCTGTTTATTGATGTACATTGCTGTACTGTTATATACTAGAGGAGATTTGAAGGAAATAAAGTCAATATCACAGTTGTGTATTTTAGTAGAGAGGGAAGGCTTTGATATCCAGAAAAGTGTAGATTTCAATCCTTTTTTTCTTAAATCACAATTCTTAAATTATTATGGTTAGTCACACAATATGATTAAAATAAATGGTTGGTCATTCAGTCAACCAGATGTTTAGATTGGATTTGGCATTTTATTATATTATTATTATTACTACTACTATTATTATTACTACTGCTGCTGCTACCATTATTACAGAAAAATTACTCAACATTGCTAAATACTCTCTGCCCTAACAAGCAGGCTAATCTTCCTAAGAAAATGAAAAGACTTGTCCAGGCAGTCACTAGGAATCAAAACTGACCTGAAGACACCAAAAAAAAAAAAAACCACCTACAGATATTTTTAAAAACTCTGTATTTAAGCCATTTGATAGCCACACTGAAGCTTTTTGGAAGAATGTGAGAATACACTTTTTGGAAAGTGTTGAGGTAATTCCCCGTTAGGAGAATGAGCGCATACAGGGAGACGTATCTGACAGTAGTGTTTGAATAATACACATACAGCAATCAGATACACTGTACAGTAAATGTAGGGTTTTACTTTCAATAAAGGTTTAAGCAAAGTTCAAAATAGGCAGTCCAAAGTCATTCACAGGTTAAATCAGTCAGTTTTCAATCCAGGGATAATCCAGTAACAAAGTCCAGTGTCAAAAACAGTTCAGTGTCAGACTTACATCAAATCCAGAAATAGCAGTCAATTAGGAAAAATGCCAATACTCTCCAACAGAAGGAAACAGAAACTTACTCACACTCTCTTCTGAGACTAAGGCTAAACAACCCAGGTTTCTGGCTCCATCTTATGGCCGTTTGAGAAACCACACCTAATTACAGTTTTGCATTTTCTTAAAGATACAGTTTTAAAATGTTTATCCTGGTTTATATATTTCTAACCCAAATAGCTATTAGGTGACTCATATTCCTAACAGAAAAGCAAAGAGAAAAAATAATAATTGTAATTGTGATGTAGTTGCAATTTCAAAGGAAAAGAGTGTCACAGTTTGGAGTGATATAGAAAAAGGATTCTTTTTTTCAACAAATGGTCCTAGGAAGAGGGAAACCTTTTCCAAGACACTTGCCAATTGAAGACATAATATCTGACTAGAAGAGGCAGTCCTTTAAAAAAGCAAGACCTTCTTTTGTATGTTAAAGGGTATTTAGGATGTTAAAGAATAAAACCAGTAAGTATTCTAAACTGAGACTAGGAAATAAGCAACAACCAATGAAAAACTTTCATTGTGGGATTGATGGGATTTTGATATAATCTGCATCATGAAGTTTTTGCAGGCTCTTCAAAGGCAAAGTGAAACCATGTAATTAATGAACAAACATATCTCCCTACTGGTTAACTTCACACACAGACTGAGGTCCTTTTTCAAGAAATGCTTCAATTTGCCATTGTTTTGGAAGTAGCATTGCTCTGATAGTACTCCACAAAGCAAAGTTGTTGTATTCTATTTGCCTCCTCTGGCACTGTCAGCTGTTTAACAGAGACTGTTACATATACACACTGTATGCGCACATACTTCTTCTAACTAATGGAAGAGTCTCAAAGCATTGGCAGGAAATATTTCAGCAAGGCAAATAGGATAAGAAAGATAAGGCTGACCACAGGAGAAAAAAGCCTTCTTCAGGATAAATTGTGACCACTACTTTCTACAATCTCTACTGTTCAGTTCTTCTTTCCCAGCTTGTGTATTTATATTAACTGGATTTTTTTTAATGAAGCAAAATGTTTTCCATCACTAAAAACAACCATAATACAGAGTTAAAGTAAGAGAAAATGAACAATAGATGGTTCTCATTCAGGAAAGAAACATTGGGGCAATCTTCATTATACAGCTAAGAGAGTATTCTAATTTACCACCGCATTCCCAGCAATGGTCAACAAGAGACCATGAAATGAGCAGAGAACGGTTTCCAGGCTAGATAGCCATTACTGTTAGATTTGTCTAAATTGACATAAATTGGATCTAAAAGGAAATACAGAAAATATAAGATCACAATGGCCTTGGCAAAAGTAAGCTGAGGGTTCTCTTCATATCTTTCCTAACATCAATGTGCTTCTGCCAAGGAATGTAGCTTACTCACTAATTCTACGTATAATCTGAAACTTTACTACCTACTGTACCTATGATCAATTTTCCAAGCTGTCATTTCTAATTCTAACAGTATTTTATAAATCAATAGCTAGACTAAAATTATCCAAAAAGCAGACTGGAGTCATTTTCTCACAAACAGAAATGTCCTGGAAAATGTTCTCATGTTCTCTTCAAATTCCTGACTGTTCCTAACATTTTCTAAAATGTTCAAATCAAGCATTGAAAAAGAAAAGGTGTTTACAACGATGCCATATGAATGTTTTGTCCATGTTAACTTGTTCTAGTTAGTCAACAGATTCTTCACTGTCCAATTTAGGGATGGGAATGATTGCTTTAAAAAGTCAGTAGTATCCTGAGGATTCAGTTCTACTTTTCACAGACATGAAGCATTTACATACAAGCCTTTAAACAAAAAACATTTACTAGAGGAAGAACTAAAGCATAAACCTACTTTTTCTCTTTCCCAATTGTGCTTTGATCAGAAAATAATGTAACTCTTAATCTATAGCCACAGTATTGTAATAATGTAGATTCCCCAGAAATACACTGCTCAAAAAAATAAAGGGAACACAAAAATAAGACATCCTAGATCTGAATAAATGAAATATTCTTATTAAATACTTTGTTCATTACATAATTGAATGCACTGACAACAAAATCACACAAAAATTAGCAATGGAAATCAAATTTAGCAACCCATGGAGGTCTGGATTTGGAGTTACACTCAAAATTAAAGTGGAAAAAAAACACTACAGGCTGATCCAACTTTGGGGCTCATCCAGCATTGGGGGATGCTGATCCAAGCATCCCCCAACTCCTGGACAGTCTGTGGTGCAACGTGGCGTTGGTGGATGGAGCGAGACATGATGTCCCAGATGTGCTCAATCGGATTCAGGTCTGGGGAACAGGCGGGCCAGTCCATAGCATCAATGCCTTCGTCTTGCAGGAACTGCTGATGCACTCCAGCCACATGAGGTCTAGCATTGTCGTGCATTAGGAGGACCCCAGGGCCAACCGCACCAGCATATGGTCTCACAAGGGGTCTGAGGATCTCATCTCAGTACCTAATGGCAGTCAGGCTACCTCTGGCGAGCACATGGAGGGCTGTGCAGCCCCCTAAAGAAATGCCACCCCACACCATTACTGACCCATGCCAAACTGGTCATGCTGGAGGATGTTGCAGGCAGCAGAACATTCTCCACGGTGTCTCCAGACCCTGTCATGTCTGTCACATGTGCTCAGTGTGAACCTGCTTTCAACTGTGAAGAGCACAGGGCGCCAATGGTGAATTTGCCAATCTTGGTGTTCTCTGGAAAATGCCAAACGTCCTGCACGGTGTTGGGCTGTAAGCACAACCCCCACCTGTGGATGTCGGGCCCTCATACCACCCTCATGGAGTCTGTTTCTGACCGTTTGAACAGCCACATGCACCTTTGTGGTCCGCTGGAGGTCATTTTGCAGGGCTCTGGCAGTGCTCCTCCTGTCCCTACTTGCACAAAGGCGGAGGTAGCGGTCCTGATGCTGGGCTGTTGCCCTCCTATGACCTCCTCCACGTCTCCTGATGTACTGGCCTGTCTCCTGGTAGCACCTCCATGCTCTGGACACTACGCTGACAGACACAGCAAACCTTCTTGCCACAGCTCGCATTGATGTGCCATCCTGGATGAGCTGCACTACCTGAGCCACTTGTGTGGGTTGTAGACTCCGTCTCATGCTATCACTAGAGTGAAAGCACCGCCAGCATTCAAAAGTGACCAAACCATCAGCCAGAAAGCATAGGAACTGAGAAGTGGTCTGTGGTCACCACCTGCAGAACCACTCCTTTATTGGGAATGTCTTGCTAACAGCCTATGCTTCCCCCTCTTGTCTATTCCATTTGCACAACAGCATGTGAAATTGATTGCCAATCAGTGTTGCTACCCAAGTGGACAGTTTGATTTCACAGAAGTGTGATTGACTTGGAGTTACATTGTGTTGTTTAAGTGTTCCCTTTATTTTTTTGAGCAGTGTATATCTCTTTATGTTCAGTATGTAGTATTTGATATAATATCAGATCATCAAATCAGTTACTTTGTATTCAAATTGTATGCATTTTTATGCAGTCTGTAAGCTTTTCAATAACTGCCTTGCAAACTTTGAGAAATGCACATTCCAAAGATTGGCTTTGTTTCTAAAACATTCTTAACCATATCCAATTGCCTGGATCAAGGGTGCATAAATTAAGGACTCCTGGTTGCAAGCAGCCTCTCAAAATCCTGGCTGCAGCCTCCACACAATTTCGCCATTCTTTATGTTCCCACCAAATTAAAATGTCTATTCTGGCAGAACAAAATTGTTGAATATATGGGAAATAACTTTCTGAAGTCCATTAAATCAAAACAGCCACTTATCTAGCCTCTTTCCCAAACCTATATTCCATTATAGCCTAAAGTTTAACAGTTGCTCTTGAATGTTGCCAGTGACATAAAAAAAAAATCAAAAGTAAGATAATAAAGTAATATTTTTAAAAATGCTGAACATCAAATAAAAATATGCTAGCACTATAAACCAGCAGCTATGTTCATAATTTAGTCTACTACACTTTCTGAAAAGAGCAAGACAGAGAAAAAAAATGAAATTTCTTCCATTCCGAGGATTCTAAACAAATTGGGGGGGAAATGGAATGAAATAAGAGCCAGATACCCACGAAGCAATTTGCAAAAATTATGTATCGATTGAGGACCGAACATCAGCCAAAACTGCAGTTTGATTTTGAATGTTGCTAGCAATTATCATACATTCAACCTTAAAGTGCTGCAGAGTGTTTGCCTTTTTTTTCCTGCCACTACACTGCAGTGATTTATTTTGGGAGGTTACATACCATTTTACAGCTACAGGTTACACTGGCTCAAAACATCTCAAAACAGTCCATATATCTGAATGTTGCTGAGGTTTAGAAACACTGTTCTAGAAGACCTAAGAACTGATTCCACAGATCATTCCCAAAGACACTTTTTCAAAAGGCAAGTGGACTTTTTCTGTTTTATGTCCCTTGTAGTCAACTAGTAATTAATTTTTTCCATTTTCCACCATTCAGTCAGAACTGAAGAAGCTTCTTAGATGAGAAGCGAGACATCTTCAAGGAAAAAAAAGAATGTCCAATTGCCTTTTGAAAAAGCACTTTTGGGACAACCATGATCTGGTTTACTGAGAATCTCCATAGATATTCCAGTGTTTTTAAACTTGTCAACTTTCAGATTTGTAGACTTCAGCTCCCAGAATTCCCAACCCTAATGGGGGGAAAAATGGCACTCTTTTTTGAAGCCCTAATTCTTTGGCAGTTTTCCTGGAGAAATTTTCTTGCTTTCTTGTTTATTCCATATCGTGCCTTGAATATTTACCTGGTGGTGAAAATGGAGACAGGGCAATGTGTTCTGCTTCCTCTTGGTTGTCAGCATGGATGGCCCCGTTTTCAATATTCTCATGTCTTCCATTCTGAATCAACTGGCCATTGGAAGAATGAATTAGACGCTGACGCTAAAATGTACAGAAAAAAGCCCAATGACTTTAAGAGCATTCTGCTCTTTAAACAGATGTTACCTGGGCTTTTAAATTCTAAGAAGCAAATATTCTAATTATTATTATTTGTTATTAGCCTATGACATTGTTACATTAGCCAGGAGATTACATTTCAATTGCAAAGTAGTAGTTTAACTGCCAAGTTGCACGAAGAACCACATACAAGCCTTCTTGTAGGACGCGATTGTGCAAGTCCCATGGTGCACCACACCAGAAAGAAGGACAAGTGGTTCTTCCTGCAACATCACCCAGAGGTCTTCTCTCTCCACCAGAGCTGCCTTGCAAAAGAGTGACACAGCCAGGAAGGCTCAGAGGGCAGGAATATGACTGCCTGCATGGAGAACCAGCTCACCCCGCCCCCCCCATCAAAGTGGTACCTATTTTTTCTACTTGCACAAAACATGTTTTTGAACTCTTAGGCTGACAGAAGCTAAAGCGAGTGATGGAAGTTCATCTTGACTCACAGCACTAGGACTTGAACTGCCGGAGTAGAAACTATTCTAGTGTCAGCCACTCCTGTGTATTTTAATGGTAAGACGTTTTGGTAAGTCCTTACCTTTGAAAAAAAAATTCCCATCAACCAGCATGAGGATTTATTTCTCTTTTTTTATAGCTTCAATTTATACATTGAAATTTTCAATACATTTTATTGAAATTTATGTAATTTGAATTTTATTCACTTGACTTTAATTTTTAGTTCAATTGTAATATAATTCAGTTATAAATATAATTTATGAAATATTTCAATATGTAATATAAATACATCTTTGAGAGTTCTGAATGTCTTACACTATCTATTAATTACTTTAAGAACAGAACATAGTAAGAATTAAATGAATAGGACTCATAAAAAGTAATTGACTAAGCTGGTCAACATTTTAATTATTTTCTCCACTCTGGACTCACCTCATTAATAATTAACCTGCTTGCCATCCGTAGTCTGGTTCTTGGTCCAAATTTATTGGTAATCATTATTCGCAAGCCAGCTTCAGGAAAACGGTATTTTGGAGGACTGGAACAAATAATCTCATCGACCATCACCACAGAATTGCGTCCAGGTTCTTGTGTTCCTTTCACTAGTGACCACAATGCCAATTAATAATTCTAATTTTCTCTACTTTTTCCCACATTTGTTTATAATGCTCTTTTGGAGTAATTTAGAGGGCATTAACCTGACACTTCAAAAAAAAAAAAATTCAATTTCTCGTCTGTAGTCCAAATAGGATGCATGTCAAATAGGACTTTTCACTATATTTGCCCATTTATTTTCAGAAAATATGTTGGCTTTGTGAGGAAATAAACTTTTCCTCTTAGACTGTGATCCTCACTCTTGAATCTTCTTGCTTTATATTTCAAGAGTAATATTATTACTGATTATATCTCTCTCTACATACATATTATGACTATATGCTTACTCTATGCTGGCTATATAGCAGCTACGCAGTTCCCTTAAATTCCTTAAAATGTAACGTTTCTTCCTGATAATCAAATAAGCAGGTTCATTATCCACATTTTCTTAAGAATCAAATAGTTAAACTTTCAGGTTATATTTAAAAGAAAACTGTCTGTTCTTATGTATCTATTTAAAGATAAGTAGGGTAAAGCCTGATTAGTACTTGGAAGAAGATACCCCCCCCCAAAGCCAACCTAGAAAGAAGACAATAGAAACTACTTCCTTATTTCTGCCCAGAAAACTACTTGATACTATACTGACTTCTGTTCTAGGCCAAGAGATGTAACATGCAGTTGTAAGTATTAGTAAAAGGAAGTAACAATCAATGCACGAAAACAAACAAATGCTACCAGCTAGAAATAGCAAGCACAGTAAGGCTGAGCAGACAGGAGACATATGTGTTAGAATACACACTCTAATACACAATCGATTTATTTATGTTAAGAAGAAAATAATTAGTTTGTTAAAACTAACCAACCATTAGTACATAATATTCAATTTGAAGGCATGAAAATCCGAGGAAAACATTCATTCAAGCCACACAATTAAAGACGATTCTCCAGAAAAATCTCACACATGAAAACTGCAGGTCTGTGATTTCAAAAGATAAAAAGACAGAAAAGGTAATCAAGGAAAAAACTTAACATTATTATTTTCTTTTGGGCTATGCAGTATGATGAGAACAATCTTTTCCACACATTCAGCATGGCTGAATTCTGATGGCAGGTTCCTGCTCTTGCAATGAGATTCAGGCTGGACAAATAAGCAAGGAAGATTCCAGAAGATCACATTCATTTTTGGCTATGTATAATGAATTAACTAGTTCACAGTTGCAGGCTAACGAACATGAAGAAATGGGACTTTAGCAGCCTGAGGATGAAAAATCTGTGAGCTGTTGTGGGCAGACTATCCACTATATAAGCCATTACATAATTGCTAGTATAGTAAGAAACAGGATTTCACTTTCCCATTTCCCCAGCTCACACTTAAGCAGTGCCTTTGGAATGATGGTACTGATACTATGATTTGTAAACAAATTGATATTTGTACAGGAGAAGATTAGTATATGCAGGGTCAAAAAGCATTTTTGGCCAGCTTCTTTTGGTTGGTTAACAATAATACCTGCCTTTAAAAAGATGCTCGATGGTTGGAAATGACATCTACCCATTTATATACAGAAACAGGTATTACAATTATGGAAACCTTCCAAAAAGATGTATAGTTTTGCCTTAATAATTATACAATGGCTTTTGACTGTGTATAATATGACAGTGGATAAATCACTGTGGATAAAACATGCGTTTACTGGACAAATTAATCAGCCTACTGAAGAAGCCGCAATGAATGAATCATGGGACAATGAAATTCAAAATTGGAAGAGGACTATGTTTTATTTATTTAACTTATCTGCAGAATATATCTTGAAAAATGCTGAATTAGAAGACAAATATTTGCTAAGTGGGAGAAGGCAAGAGACAGCAAGAATATTAATCTCTATAGGTGACTTGTTGTAGGCACTTATAAGAAAATATATTAAAATTGCTGGAGAAACATCAACAACTTTAATATGCTGATAACACCCCTTTGCTGGAAATAAGGAAAACTAAACAGAAATTCACCTTACTGAAGATGGAAAAGAGTGTAAAAAGTTGGTTTTCTTCTCAATATTACAAAAGCCTCTAAGAGTCAGTATACAATGTCAACCTAGTATAAAAAAAGAAATTGCAATAATATATTTTCGTTTTCTAGACCACAACATTCACAAGGATACTAGTAGAAGCCATGAAATAAGTTGTTTGCTACTTTAAGGAAAGACTATTACAGATATAGAAACATATTAAAATACTCAGATTCTACTCTAAACAACAAAGTTATGTATTATCAAGGCCATGATTTCCCAGTTGCAACATACTGCTATGAAACCTGGAATATCAAAAAAGCTGAATGAAGAAAATAGATGTTTTTGAACTATGGGGTAGAGAAAATAGCTGAGAATGTCTAGACTCGAAGAAGAAATAACTCATTACTAGATGATATAGAACAGTGTTTCCCAAACTTTTTCAGTCCACCGCCCCCTTGGTGCTACAAACTCATCCTCGGTGCCCCCCATCCAGGGGTGGGATTCAAATTTCTGTGAGCGTGGCCTAATTTGAGGGTGTGGCTTGCTGATCAAGTGACTGGGTGGGCCTGGCTTGATGGTCACGTGACTGGCTTGCAGGTTGGGCATGGCTTGCTGGTCACATGACAGGGTAGGTGTGATTTGGTGATCATGTGACTGGATGGGTGTGGCCAGGTGACTGGCAAACCAAATACAAGTGGTCCTCACTTAATGGCCAGTTGTCTAGCAAGTGTTATAATTTATGACTGGCCTCCCCAGAGATAGTTGACCCGTTTTTGGAGTTTTGGCAGCCATGCACACACATACACGTGACACACTCCCTTCTAACCCTGCTGGAGCAGGTCATTGCACTAGAATCGGCAAAGCATCTCTGATTAGATTCTAGCAGTGAATAAAATATAATCAGAGATGCTTTGCTGATTCTTGTTGATTTGTTTTATTTGTATCTCATTATTTTATATTGCTGAATAGCATTGACATGTTTGTCCCTTGTTGTGCACAACAAGGGACACACAGATGCTTTTGTGATTCTTTGCAGCAAAAATTACCGACCTCTGGCTTTGCTCTACTTTTCAAACATGCCAACACTGCCACATTCTAGGTGCCGGCCTCACAGGTCCACCCCATTGAGCCCACTGCATTGGAGGGACCTGCCCAAGCAAGTCAAGTCAATGGGGTGAGCCTGAGAGAGGGAAAGAGAGAGAAAGAAGAGAGAGAGAGAGAGAGAGAGAGAGAGAAGGAAGAAAAGAAAGAGAAAAGGGAAAGAAAGAAAAAGGGACAAAGAAAGGGAGGGATGGAAGGAAGGGACAGAAAGAAAAAGAAATAAAGAAGGAGGGAAGGAGGGAGGAGAAAGATAATGAGATATCTATTCTAGTCCAATCACCTGCTCCAGCAGGGTTAGAAGGGTGTGTGTGTGTGTGTGTGTGTGTGTGTGTGTGTTCTTTCCTTGTAATTTACCAGTACATTTTGGTTTTGCATTCTTCAGAATTGGCACTGTAATACATTGGGGAAAAGTAATTTTTAGGGTGGAGATCTGGTCCAATGGATCCTGTTTAAAGCCTCAACAAAATGTGAGAGCTTATTGATAGGCCCTGGAGTATACCTTGATGCTGGAAAAATTGAAAGTAATTGAAAATAAATAATTGAAAAGAAGATAAAATAGCTGTGATGACCCAGGTGGGATACAAAACAAACGCAGTCACAGAAAACAGGTGAAGCCTCTTTTATTCATTCACTTTGCTTCCAAGCTCCAAATATCTTTGATGGAAGACAAAAAAACTCCCACACAAACAGTTACACGAAGAAGGAAAAAAGCAACACAAACTAGGCAAGATAAGGGCTGGAGGATGTCCACAGATAACACACACTGGGAAAGACGCCAAACTCAGAGAGGAACTATAAACTAGAGATATTTACATGCTTTGTTTCCAGCATTTGCCAGTACGCAAGTTCATACTCTTATTCAATTGTCACAGCTGCAGCCCATGAAGAGGATCAAGGCCCTCTCCTCCCAAGTAGACTACGTCTCTCCTGTATCCTCTCCTCCCTGCATGCCCTAGGATGGATAGGGGATGGGCCTGGGTCCTCCTCTGACTGCTCAGCCGGCCTCTGCCCTTCCCCAGCCTCCTCCACAACCTCTGGAGGAGGTTCCACTCCCTGTCGGCTGTTCCTCCTCTCCCTCAGAGTCAGTCTCCACCAGGACATGACAATAGCATTTAGACTTATATACCGCTTTATAGTGATTTATGGCCCCTCTCTAAGCCATTTATGGAGTCAGTATATTGCCCCCAACAATCTGGGTCCTCATTTTACCGACCTCGGAAGGATGGAAGATTGAGTTAACCTTCCGCCAGTGAGACTTGAACTGCCGAATTGCAGGTAGCAGGCAGGCAGCAGAAGTATCCTACAGTACTACATTTTAACCACTGTGCCACTGTGGCTCTTAGCATACAGTAAGTAAATACTATTACTGATAACACAAGTATGGATTTACATGAACTTAAGGAAGCAGTTATTGACTGACAAGCCCAGCTTAATGATATCCACCTGATCATGAAGAGTATAAAGTGACTGAAAGATTGAACAATAACAGGAAGACTGCTCTTCAAGGAGGAAACGTGCTAACCAATAGATACTGGAAGATAAAGTTTAGAACAATTCCATAATCTATATTCAGAACACAAAACAGAATCACACTGGTCATCAGTAAGTCTATAAGATAAAAGGCCAATTGCACCTTATTTAATCTTTGCACTACTGATCCACAGTAAATTGGCTGAATCTTAAGAGACGAGTCAGGAATTCTGAGTGCGAATTTGGCTAGAAACTTTCTAAAGCACTATTGCAGATGCTCCTATCCTTTAACCACAACCCTGTTGCTTATTAAATGGGAGGAGGCAAGAGAGAGCAAGAATATTAATCTCTATAGATGACTTATTGTAGGCATTTATAAGATAGCACAAAGAACTTCAAACACCTAAATCCACTATCTTTAATATGATGCCCTTTAAATTTTATAATTACAAGTCAGCATGAGTCCAGAATTATGGGACCCAAGTTAGTTGAAGTTTAACAGATCTGGAGTGCACCAGATCTGGGCATTAAGTTAGATATATCTAGTAGAGAATGTGTGGCATGTAAGAATTATTGAAGGAGTGCACAAAATCTAGTGGATAAACATCTTACAGATATGGCTCAGTAGAGAATAATTAATGGCATGGAATCCAAGAGGCATACTCAACTGTGTGCTAAAACTTAAATGAAAACTTCTCACAAAGAGCTTGCATATTGCAAAGTAGTTTATTGATAAAACCCTTAATGGGCTTCAGCCTCCTGTAGAGCTCCAATATTTCATCACTGTGCAGAAAATTGTTTCAACAGCTGAGCTTTTCTCATTTCCACCTATCAAGAACTGCCTACTAAAATGGCCTCTGGAGTTTTCCTTTTTCTTCTGGTCATTCTGATATTTTTTTGGAATGAACTGCAACTGAAAAAACAGCTTGGGGTCATGAAAAAAAAGTCATGAAACATTTGCTGCTTGTTAGGTTAAGGTACCACCTTTTGTTTTTGCTCCAAACAAACAAACAAACAAACAAACCCCATGAGGCTAGTCCTCTGGAATGTGGACACATACTTGAGACATTTGATCTGGATTCACTACAAGTGTGTATATGTATTTTGTCATTGTGAGTTTCTACTGACTGGGCCAGAGCATATAAACAATGTTCATAATAACGGAGGCACTGTGCTGTTATTCTAAAAGCATAAACATTAGTTGCAAAAATAAAAGTCTTGTTTTCTTGCACAAAAGGCTTGGCTGAAATTGGATTTTCTACCAGCTGAGGAGCTTTGTGTATATGAGAATCTTGTACCAGAAGTTTTTTTTTTCCTCATGTTTTTTTCTAATGTTCCTTGTAGCTCTTGAAAGCAATAAATTTACAAGCTTCAAGATAGCAGTCGGAAAACCCTCCTTTTTATCTGTACCCTCAAGTAATAGAATTCCTGCTATCAGAACATGGAATGTAGTCGGCAGAGAGCAGGTGCTCTTTTGCAGGCAATAATCAGCCTCTGAACTCAAGACAATGGAGAAGGTTAAGATGAGACCCAAGCTTTGCTGATTCTGGAGAGATATTAACAGATATCCTAAGCATCCTTGCTGGAAGCAACCGTCACAGCTAAAAGATTTAGAAGTCTGGTTCAGGTGATGGTTGATCTGACAAAGTTTTTTAAAAAAGCCATAGAAATAGCAGTTTATCAATCCATGGCATATTTCAGTTAACAGAAATAAGGCATCTCTCAGTTCTTGAATGGCAGATGATACAGATGTGTGTATATTCTTTATGAACATAAAGATCTTGATTTTAGTTACAGGTATGCAATGTCTTTTCAAGATATTATAACATACTCTGTGGATAACAAGCAACTGTTATTCAGTGGCTAGAATATTCCCCCCTTGCAGGGAAAGCAACAAAGCAAGACAAATAAAGGCAGTGATAAAATGTAAAAACAGGTTTTTTGCTTGCAAATCTCATGAAGGTTGTTGTATGTAAGAGAACGATCTTGTTTTCAGTTTCAGAAGAAAGCAGATCTTTTAGAATTATTAAAGAGAACCAATATCCATTTTTCCATATAATATTAGTGTAAAGAAAAGTGGGAGCAGAAGAACCATTTCTTTTCTAAATGGTTAAGAATTTAATTATTTGATGCAAAACTGATGTTTTTCAGTGTGAAAGTCTGCTGTCCAGGGCAAAAAGGAAAGCACTTTCACCTATATTCTATATATCTTAATTGGTGACGCACCAATTCTAACTTTCATCCAGCATGATTATGATGACACTGACATTAACATTATGTTCTAACATTAACTTCAATACTGGAAGAAATGTTTCTTTTTAAATTATTTGAAAACTCTCGTCTTCTTAGAATCTCCTGAAAAATCCTGAGCATTATTCAAAGGATCCTTTTGAATAATCTAACCTTAAGAGATAAATCTCAAGAAGGGTACTCCACAGATATGGTAGGCCTTATCAGTGCTCTGTATTAAATAAATACATGGTATATAATACATACGTAATTACAGAAAGATGTGAGTGACTCTAGACTGCTTGTGTTTGTCCAGTCCATTTATTAAACATAAATAATATTTTATCTTAAGCTTGTGGAAGTCTGCCATCAGAGTTCGAATCACTAGTAGTGAATAGCATTGTTTCCAAGACCTCCTGTTCAGCTCATGTCTGCTTAGCCTTACCTTTCCGTAGCAATGGTATGGAGGGATCATCACAGCTAATGTCATAAGATTTATTACCATCTTCCAGTTCACTGTTCACAGTGTTGCCATTACCAACATTCATACTTTTCATAGTAAAGAAGTTCTGCATCTTCATGTTGAATCTAGAAGTATAAAGAGAAAAATGCTAAGGTTTCAAAGAACAGCTCACAGCTCTGGCTCTCTTCCCTTCCATTCCTGGTGCTCACAACCATCGGGAGCAAGTTAGATTGTGATACATCAGTTTATCAAGTGCCATCTAATTTGAGCATAACTGGCTAAGAGCCGTGGTGGTGAAATGGTCAGAGTGCAGTACTGCAGGCCACTTCTGCTGACTGCCGGCTGCCTGCAATTTGGCAGTTCAAATCCCACCAGGCTCAAGGTTGACTCAGCCTTCCATCCTTCCGAGGTAGGTAAAAGGAGGACCCAGATTGTTGGGGGCAATATGCTGACTCTGTAAATCGCTTAGAGAGGGCTATAAAGCACTGTAAAGAGGTATATAAGTTGAAAAGCTATTGCTAATGATGATTACATTATAATTAGGCCCCCCACGATCTGGCCAAAATTAAGCCTTGTTGGATCCTGCTAGTTTCAATGCATACATGATTAGTCCATGATTTACAACAGTTCATTTAGTGACCATTCAGTTACAACGGCACTGAGAAATGTGGCTTAGGAACATTTTTCACAGTTACAACCTTTCCAGCATCCCCATGATCATGTGATTGAAATCCAGGTGCTTGGCAACTGGTTCATATTTATGACGGTTGCAGTGTCCTAGGGTGCTGAGAGCCCCTTTTGCGATCTTTTCACAAGCAAAATCAATGGGGAAACCAGATTCACTTAACAACTGTGTTACAAATTTATCAGCTGCAGCGATTCACTTAACAAGGGTGACAAGAAAAGCTGTAAACTGGAGCAAAACCCACTTCACACATTTCTGACTTAACTACATAAGTTTCGGGCTCAGTTGTGATCATACATTTAGGACTACCTGTATTAAAGTGATATTTCTCTTCCACTAAAAGCAAATGTGCTTACATTTTCATTTGGATCACGTAAGAAATGAGACTATTACAGAGATCTATGAGCCAGGCAGCGGGACTGTCATATCTAGGTTATATATAGCAACTAAAATGCTGCAACATGTTTCCAAGAAGCCAAGTCAATGAGGGAAGCTAGATTTGCTTAATGACTGCATGCTTCACTTAATTTGCGTAGTGATTTAATAACCATGAAAAAGGTCAAAAAATAGGGCATGGCTCACTTAAAAATTGCCTTGCTTAGAAATGGGAGTTCTGATCCCAAATGTGATCATAAGCCAGGGACTACCTGTATTGTGTTTTCAACATCTATGTTGCTCTGAGGGATATGCAGAAGAAAAAGGCCAGATTCATGAGTTCTTCAGAAGAGGCCATTATCCTTGAACGCATCATAACTTTATAGCAGTACCTCTAACTCTGATTGTATGATCCCAGTGGTTATGAATCACAGACAAAAACGGCTTTTGAACTATTTCTATGCTCCCCTCTGAAATGTTTTCTAATTTGGATATAATGATTTATGACACTGCTGTAAAATAATTATGTTAATTATTTCTGTAGCATTGCAAATACAAATACAAAAGAAAAGCCTTTATTTCTTGCAAGGGTAGCTGATGAATAGCCAATATAAAAACTAATTCAAATTCTCCAAAGCCAAATCCATAAATGCAAGCATGCTTCATTTTGAATTAAAGCTTTCTTTGTGCAATCCTCCCCGCATTACTTACCTTGGCTGCTTACAATGCTCTTTCAAATGGGCTATTTTGAATATGAAGAAACAAGGAGAATATTTCTGATATATAACCCCTTCCTTAGTTTCTTTGGAAAATTACTTCTCTTGGATGCATTCCATACTCTTTGCTCTTACAATACAACATTGGACTTCATTACCCATTACCTCAATCTCTACTGCCAAAGGCTGTGCTGGCTAGTGGTAATGGAAGTGGCTTCCAACATACTGGAGGGCACTAGGTAATGAAAGGCTATCATAAAGACCGAATGTTCTCGTTCATCTTCAATTTCAATAGCCCAAATGTAGATCATAAAAATGAGCCTCAAGTTATTGCAGACAATATACATTTAAGCAGAACATCTACTACTAGTTGGGGAAATTAACAGCAATAAAGCAAGGAAAGTGAGCTATTCTTAGTTATCTAGCAAAGTACATTGCAAGCTCATATGCCTATTAGCCACATATATTTAAAGCACAGAGTTAAGAGTACTTACTTCATGATAAGTATATAGAAGAAATACATAATGATGAGTATAAGGCTTTCCCACCTCAAATAAATAAAAGGAAGGAAATTAGTAGTAAGGCTAGTGCCATTTGTAGTAGTGTTACATATTTTTTGTGGAATATATCAGTAGAACTATTATAAGCACTTTCCTCCACTTCTAGCACTTCATATATTAAACCAAAGAAGTTGTTATGTCTATCTGTTCTTTGCACCTCTTCTTACTCACTCTTTCCTGCAGCCAGTTGCAATTTGTTTTTCTCTCAATGCTTCATAGTGTTCATAAATACAATCAGTCAATCTACCTTATACCTTTGCAGCCAGACCTCTCAATCCCGCCCCCAACTATTTATAATCAAAAATATTAAGTTGGAACAAGAATCACCTCACCTAAAGATACTTAGGGAGCTATCTTTCCTTAGCTGGGAAATTGGCTGAGAGTCCCCAAAACGTGAAATAAATAAATCATTTGAAATAAAGGTTTGCTAACAACATAAAGCGCCCACATTTTAGAAGGATTCTAGATCCTTGAAAACTCTGCTGAAAGTTTTCCATCACTGGTGAGGGGAATGAAGCAAAGTGCGCTAGGAAACCATTAGAAATAGCTATGAAATTTCAAGATCCAAAAACCTCTTGCCTTACTGACACATCAATAAAACTAGTCCCCATCTTTCTATTCTAATTACAGAAAGAATCCAAACTGGAGGATGTGCTGGAAGTTTTACAAAAAATAATTTCATCTAGCCCCAAGGGCAGATGTCCAAGTTTACTTCTCTTAATTAAACAACATGAAGAAATGAAAAGAACCACTTACCATACAATTTTCTCATCATATATAAACTAAAAAAGAGTGAAAAAGAAAGGGGAAAATGGAATAATTACATAATTCAAGTGAAAATAAATTTGGCTACATTATGGAACACAGTGACATGTATACATATAAAGTTGAGCATAGAATGGTCTCCAGGCAGAATCAGCTAAGAGTTTTATTCTCAGTTACTACTGATTTTTGGTCCTGAATCATTGTTTCAGTAATGAAGGCCACTGGTGCTCGGCAAAATATATAGTAGCATTTTTTAGGTAGAGCAAGCGTGGAAAATTTGGGAACTTCCTGGGATATTAAGATTACTACTCCAAGACTTTGAAGCTAGGAGAATTGGAGGTCAAGCTGGAAAGCTTGTTGTAGACAGTGATTAAATTACATAGTGGGCAGAGCTGCAAAAGTCTAGGTTAAGAGGCCATGAATTAGAAAGCACTGAAGATGCTTGGAATAAAGTAATTCCTGTGAATAGAAGATTTCCTTAAAATAAAAAAGCAGTATGCCATTCTTGCATTTCCAACTTTAAAGAACAAATACCTCGCAGATCCAAAATTCAGTACAATATGTACTAAGAAAAAATAGGTATACAGTTTAATTTAGTTTAGACTATTGGGAAGGTGGTATTTCTGCATTACATTTGGCTGCCAGTTGTCAAGATCTGGCAGCTTCAGAGGCAAGTAGGTGGCTTATTTGGGGAGGATTAATTGGTTTTTATCATGAACAAAGCCAACCTTAAAATAATTAAAAGCAATAGTTCATAATGCTAAAAGCAACTTTTAGCATCCCTGGACACCTTTCAAAAGTTCACAGCTGATGTCCTTCTCAGGTCACATGATGGCAGGATTAAGCAGTCATTTAAATTTCCTACTAATCTCCTAACACAGGACCATACTACAGCTTAGGGATTGGAAATGATAGCAAAGTGTCTTCTAATATTGCTCCTGGTTGTTTGTCATCCCTGACAAATGGGACCATTGGAATCTCAGGCTGAATGGAAATTTGCCTATACAGAAATTTGAGTTAACTCCAAGTTGTCCTTAATAAACACATGAAAGAATGCAGAAGACACACTGCCCTTGCCCCATCTGCTAATGGCCAGACGCATTTATTTATTTAACAATTTATATAGGCATCGATTTCAAGTAAATTATCCTGGACAGCTACAACATTAAAATAACAAACACATTTAAAAACATAAAAGCAAGAGCAGCTGTAAACAGTAAGAAGATGGTTATGTGTTTGAATGCATCTCTTCATTCTCAGCTACCATGGCCATTCCAGGAAGTTGCCTTCTCACATGATCTAAAAGGTACCAGGTTGTGGGAGACTGAAGCATACACATTTAACATCTTATTTATCTATTCATTTACTTATTTACTTAAAACGTTTATATAGTCTCCCATCTTCTAACCAACTGTGGGTAGTTCCCAAGATCCTTTGTGTGGGAGTTTTTTTAAATGGGGAAATCCACCATATTTGTCTTTTAAGGAGTCCTTCTGCAAGGAGGTCTATTGAGAACCAAAATCTCAAGCTCAGCTATATTCCAGAACATGGTGAAGAAAACTGACAAAACTTACCACAATCAGGACTACTACAGACAGAGTGTAGTAGACAGAATCCCTACACACAGACCACCAAGTGAGACGGACCACCTAGAAAAAGGATACAAATTATTCCATATAGCAAGCTCTATCTTGGCAATGCTTGGATTTTAGATGTTGCCACAGATTCTGAAACCAGACAGTGCTGATGAAATAAGGCTCATATATGCATTCACACCTCACTACAATCTTATCACTTACTAGTTAGCATTGCTACTGCTATTAATTAAAAGGTATCCCTTCAAGGAAGGAGAACATGTATATCTGAGCCTGTATTTTCCTACACAATCTTGTTCTATCTTGATTTTTAGTTTTACATTCTCAAAAGAAAAATCATATGAGAGTCCCTGATAGGGCTGGCACGCTCTGGATCCTATCAATAAAACAATGCTATTTCATGGGACGCAGGAAGTGTGTCTTCTTTGTCACCATGGCTGCCCATGAGAACAGCATCCTCCTTTCTATGGACTTGCCCATGCCAGTCTGTAGGAGGGACTTGTTTCTGTCCACATGCAGGGGTAGGATGCTACCAGTTCTGCCCAGCTTTATAGAACTGGTAGCTCTGAAGAGCAGCAAACACCAAACCGGTTCTGTGTTTGCTGCTGTTTGGCCCACCTGCCTGCCTGGGCTCTTACCTGTCCTTTATTTCCTGCTTTTTCAACCTCAGCTGCAAAAAGCGGTTTTTCAAATGCAGCGCACCTATGCATAGTGCTTTTCAGCTGTCTGGGTTGTTTACACACATGTGCAGTGCGCATCAAGCATGCATGCGCACGCAAAACATGGTCACCAAACAGGTAGTAACATCAGTTGAATCCCACTCCTGTCTACATGCATTGGGCAGGATGCAAGATGAAACTATATAATAAAGCATATTTTGTGTTTCTTTACCCTTAGTGCAATGGGTGTGCTGCATTTTTGGAATTTTGTTCAATTTTTAACATAAATAACTTAATCAATCAGTCAGGGAGAATGAAAACGTAAGTAGTTTATTGACTGAGAAATAAGTGTGTCAGTCTGTTGGGGGGAAAAAAGTGGCATCTTAAAGAATGAGATATTTGTTGTAGCGTAGGATTTGTGGTTTGTAGCCCATATACATAAATGAGAAAGTTCATGCCATTCTAAGTTATGAATATATAGAGACAATTATGCTTATGTGTGGGAATGGGTACTAAACCCTAGTATTCCCTATTATCACCCACCAATGAATAACTGATTTAATTACAATAACAATTAACATAATTTTTCCTACTTTGACACTCAGACAACCTCTTGAGCATCTGATTAAGTGGGCTATACACTCTCCCAAAGTATCAAGCAATACATTTGTTAGTCTTTCGGGTGACAAAAAAGCCTTTCTTTCTCCATCAGTCCCCCTAACCCTAACCCAAAAGGAACAAGAATATTATGTTATAAATCTTTTTTCTTGGCTTACTAGCACCTATTTTACACATTCTGCCAAGCTACATGTCAGCATTCCAGGGAACCTCCATTCCAATCAGTAACTCCGAGAAATGCTTCATCTCAAAAGTACCTTTATTAGAATAGCACCTGGCACATCTGTGGAATCTCAAAACTAAAAGTTTCCCAGACTTCTCACAATGTCCCAAACTACAAACCATCCCCCTTTCCCTCATCATCACATCACATGAACCAATCCCAAAGAAAGTTCCTTTTTATTCCTGCGTGACACTCTATAACCTTGAACTAACAAAAGAATTCTATTTTGTCTACCGAGAGCTATTCAATTAAAACCATCCCCTCCCACTTTCTCAAGCTATGTGGCAGCATTGAACAAGGTTTCCAGAGCTGACACTACAATGATTTTTGCCTGGATTTGCTTAACACAAAGTGTGGACATGGCATGCTCAATAAACCACAGTTAATCAGTTTAGAATAACACGCAAAACTTTTTTCCAAATAATTACTGTGGTGAAGGATCAAATAAACAGCTCAGCTTATATAATAAACCTTAACTTCCAGAATAGATTTTTATCTATTTAAAAGCTCCATCAGAGAAAAATATGTTTACAGAACAAGCAATACTCCAAAGACATCAGAAAACAGTGATCATTCAAAACTTCTTTCCATCGCAAAGAATGAAGTTGCACAAATACAGGAAACAGGAAATTTAGACCTTTTAAACAGGAAAAGTATTGCTCCAAACTGATGTAAGAAAAGTTCCTAACAAGATCTTCATTCCAGTGAATCAAAGGAATTGCATAATTATTGTATGGCATGTTGCTTAAAAAGTACATTTACTTAAGCAGCAGTTACTCAATTTTCAATGGGATTACTGTGAGAGGACAGAAACAACTTTGCTTAAAGTCTTCAATTTAAAAGTCCATCTCCTGAAAAAAAAAAAACTAAAAGAACTACAGATGCAGTAAAGCACTTTACGCATCATTTAGAAACAGAAAATTAAGAAAATCAATGATTGTACTTCATAAGGAAGTAGAGTAATAAATGAAGCAGACACAATCCTGCTAAAGTGAAACACTTTAATAAATTCTAGTAAGAATAATTTCAATCAATCTGTGTATTATTTTTAAAAACAGTACAAAGGCTAGATAGGGTACTAGTCAACCACAATTAAAATGCATCTAAATCTATTGCAATGTAAACAACAGAATAAAGAACAAATTCAAAGTTACAAATAAATGAATGAATAGCTAGTTACCAAAACTTTGTTAAAATAATTTCTCTGTTTAACATCCACTTGAGTGAAGCTTTGCCAGCTTCCACTGAGACTAAAGATAGAATTAACATTTAACTATAAGTCTTATGAAATAAAGGCAGTAAAACTTTGGCTGTTGCTCATTACCAGAAACATTTAAATTTTCTATGAAGAAAAAAATGTTATTTGGAACATAACTTAGAGATTAAACATGAGTCTGCTTTAGATCTACAATGCTCATAAATGCCAAGCGGACAGAGCAAAGGATTTTTATTTATTTATTTATTTACTTGCATGCTTGTTTGCTTATTTACTAGGGTTTATACAGCACTCTAATCCACGGAGACTCAGAGAGGCTTACAAAATACTCTCCAGTAGGAGGATTAAAAACAGTACCTTGAAATAACAAACAGAAAAAGATGAAGTAACAGATTACAATGCAATAAACGGTATCCGAAAGGAATAAGCAAACCATAACAACGGGGACTCCCTTTCTACTGTAGCTCCCACCTCAAGCCTTTAGGAATAGCCAGATTTTTTTAATTTTTTATTTCTTATATGTATCCATGTATTCATAACTATGTTTTTACTTATACCTATTATCTTGTAAGCAATTGACATAAATAAATAAATAAATAAATAAATAAATAAATAAATAAATAAATA